AAGGGTGTAGGGCTTAGGAATTTAGGATAGGGTTACATACACAGGGGTTAAATAGGGATGTACGGGGTTGAGGGCTTAGGGTTTAGACTTTCAGTTTAGTAGTTCAGGGCTGGGTTTAGGGCAGGTTTGTGGTAACAGGTTTCAGATCCGAGGGTTTCGGATGTAGGCCAGGATTTAGAATTTGAACAGTGTTGAAGATTTGGGGCAGAACAGACAGACTGATGGAGGATCAGCTAAAATCAAATGCAAACTACGATTGTGTAGGGGCTACACTGGGATTAGTACGCACCTAGACCCTATGTCCTTCCATCGGGTAATTACCTAGTTCTATGCTTCACAAGAACATGAGGTACCTCCACACAGGACCCTGGAGACTCCACATAACATAAACCCTAAGACCCCTAAACACTAAATCCCTAATCCAGAAGAGTCAGATTGCTTTAGCAGATTCAATCTCTTCCCCCACGCAATATTGCAACAAACATTTCGCTACCACAGCAATGGCCATTCTGAAGATTCGACTGCTGCGCTGGGGAGGTATTTACTATCTGTGTGAGTTATCACAGGGGGACGGGATGTCACTGTAGGTGTGACACGAGGCCTTGAAAACAGAAGTAGTTGCAGGAATTGTCTTCCCATGCGAAGTTGATGTGCAGAATGCTTACCCGAACCTAAGCCCCAAACGCAACCATTTACCTATGCGATTTAAAAAGCGCGTCGCGGATTCGGAATGAATATCTAGGGGTGGGCTTTGAGCTTTCAGGGGTGGGTCCATACCAGATTCTTTGCAACTTTCCTGGGTCATTGGCAGCTCCGCCAAAAACTGGCATTAATCCATGATTCTGCTGTTCCACAGCCCTGGCAACGATAAGAACTTGACATTGTGAAAGGGAGCCCTCCAGGCAAAACCCCGACAAAATCTTGTTGAATCAACACCTGACCTCAGCAGCCGCTGGTGACCCGAATGAAAACTCAGGCCCAGTGGCACTACCAGCAATGAGAAGGCAACCACAGGCAGCAAGTCGTCGTCATCCGTCAAGTATAAGTACCTGAGCAGTAGAGTAAAAGGCGTCATGTTGACGTGATGAGTGACGTGATTCCATTGCTGATGATGCACCAGCAGCAGCGATGTCAACAACCCTCTGGATTAGGTGAACGTTTGATATGGTGCTGCTGACTTCTGACAGCGATGGCCCTCTGAATGTGCTGAGGGTTGCAGCAATCTCGCTCGCTTGAAGATACACTGCGCGAATTGACAGCAAGCATTCCGAGGTGCATATGCGTCGGAACCCATATGAGGCATCCAAGCATGCTCATGATGAAGGCCAGCCTTGTCTGAGTCACAGGCTCACTATAGCTTTATGACGCAGGCTCCTGCTTGCTTCCCTGGTCTAGACCCTACCCTCGTGGCCTAAGTCTACAAATGACTACATGGGATATCATGTCCTTCAAAGTCCCTACATTGAGCAATTCGGACTTGCGGGCTAACTTAGAATTCTTAAGCCGCACGGATAACATGACTTGGGAATTAGTGGTCACAGCTTCGAAAGAAATTGCTTGAGTTCGAAAATCTGCAAAGGTACCCTAGGCTTCCTCTGGGTTTAGGGTTTAGGGTTGAATACCTAAGCCCCCATACCCTGCCCCGATGTTAGGATACCTGACTCTATGTCTAGCATCTTCTTCATAAGAATTAGGTGCCCTAAACAAGGCTTAGGGTATAGCGGTTTACCATTGAATCATCAAATTCCATGTCTCCATATTGTTTGAATGACAACGTGTGTTGTGACTGTGCTCCATGCAACTTACAGCCCGGTGGCACATCTTGCAGTGTTCGGGGTATATGGCAGGCAAACTGAATAAACTTTATGGCTTGATGAGGATCTCTGAATGCCCAAAAAACGAGCTCAGAAGGAACCCTAAACCCTAAGCCCTAAACTGGGTTGCTGTCCAAGAACATACGTAAAATCACCATACTCAGCAAACCACTTTATGTATTCCGTTATATATATATATACTTTTCTCATATGTGCGTCTGTGCTCTGCATTCCCCCCCCCCCCGATGCTTCAAAAGTGTCAACAGTCACAGGGATCAGGGTGGTCCTCATCGCTATCCTCGCAGCTGTCTTCGCTTTTGACACCTCGTATTGTTGTCTCTGTTTAAGGTACTCACAGTCACGGATTAGCTTGGTCGTCATCTTGCATAAACCTTCTACAACCTTTTGTAAACCTTCTTGAAATCGTCTACGAACTGGTCCAAACCCTCTAGAAACTGTTATCAACCCTCTACAAACCCTTCATAAACCTAATGTAAATCACGAGACCCAGACAGAGGCCACAGGACCACAGGGGGGCGGGGAAGAGTTTATGAACCTTCTACAAACACTATAAACCTACTCTAGACCTGAATTTAGACCACAAGACCCAGACCACAGGCCACAGCACCACAGGCGGGCGGGGCTACGAACCATCTACAAACACAATAAACCTTCTCTCAACTTTAATTTAGACCACAGGACAAGACCCAGACCACAGGCCACAGCGGGGGGATACCATGGGGCGGGGGATGGGGGGGGGTGTGGTGGATGCTGGCGCATATAAACTTCTCGCGCCTGTGTACCACTATATAATCCCTAGCCTGTATATAGCAACTGTATAACCACCACACTGTTCCTTACCAGCCACCCCGTAAATCGTGCGGTTGAAAGTTGGAGACGGAAGGTTACCTTTTTAGCATTACAAAAAGAAAACATCTGGGCGACCTGCCAGAAAGGGCTAGGGTCCTCATAACAGTAGATTAAGGGGCTTCAAAGGGTCTAAAAACCTATCCTGGTATGGTGCAGGCTTGATCTTTCATCTTAGAGGCTAGTGATTTTTCTGCTGGTTGATTTGCCTTATGAGCAAAATCCGACGCATCTGTGCTGTAGCGCATTTCGGGTTATGCAGGGTTCTGTCTATCAGCTAGAGAATCACCCAAGCAACTCCAAACCCTCTAATCTGCATCCCTATGACCATTAGTTACGTATGGGTGCTGCTGATCTGAGCTACAGTGGAAACTCCTAGTATCCCCTTTACAGCCCCTATAGTAGTTCCCAAGATAATCCCTTATAATACAGCCTCTTTAAAGAGTTCAAACTGTTGCCCATATGGTTTTACAGAAATCAGATCCAGCTGCAGGACTGCCACGCACCACCGACACCACTTGGAGTTGTTCCAGCGCAGCTCTAGCCTATGCTGTTTTAGAACCTGAAAAAAAATTACAATCTTTGCTGTTTCTTAGGTTTATAGTAGGCAAAAAGCAGAAACAGTTTCCAAGTACTCCTTAGTAGCCCTAGCTTCATCAATGGTAGGCACATCTTCACCGTCAGCAGGCTAGTGACCGGGGCCATACCCCAATCTACCTGCAATTGGTCCAGGTTTGAGGGGGGGGCTGAGCGCCCACGGCAGGGATATACTTAGTGTTTGAGAAGTGGTATCTGAAATCTTATATCCCCTGGAACGGGCAACCCTCTTCAAGCTTACATCATCCCCCGTTCCAGGACATTGGCTCCAAAGGAAACCGATAGGCTTTCTGACAAACAGAGGCCTCGGCGCAATCAAATGGCAAGCTCAGGGTTCAGGGCTTAGGGCGTCGGATGGTCAATCTGTTCCGGGCCATCTTCAAAAGCCAAAGCCCTCAAAGCCTGGAAAAACAGCTATTGCAAAGGGCGGTCCAGGCACAATGTCCCGTAGGATCCAGACAAGCAAATCGAAACCCGAGAGGTCCCAAGACCACCAGATCGTAAGAGAGACGTGATCTGCCAGGTAGGGCACGCTACTCCTCAGTCGCTCTGATGCTTGGTCTGCTCTCCTGAATTTTCCTGTTACTGTCACTGTGATGATCATGTCCTTACATGATCACGTGATCTTGAGCCCTAAGCCCTACACCCAAAACCCTAAGCCCTAAACGCCCCCAACCCCTAATCCCTAAACCGGGGAGCTGTTAAGCGACAGTTGGGGCGCCCCACAAATGCCGTCTGTAGTCACGTATGCACATCTGCTACCCTAGGCATCCGAATAACAAAGTAGATACGATTTGTGGACTTCATGGCACAAAGTCGGCGTTATTTGTGTACATAGATGTCCAGGACTACATCAACATGTCAAGATTTTTTGGGATCAAGCAGCTGAGGAGATGAAGCTATGAAATTGATCTACCGATTGGGTTTTATGCTTAAGGAAAGGAGCGCTGAGAGTCCAAAACACTTTGTGTGAAGTAAGTCCCCAGCTATGTCTGGCTAGACGGAAATCATGGACTTGACTAATTGTACTGCCTGTGCTCCTTCCACAATTCTGGCAAGTCAGATCAACCTCAAAGTGACATGATGCAAGAGCTGAGGGAGATCGTGAGAAGGCTGCACAGCTTGACCGGCCCAAGCGGCGGCCGGATCAAGGGTTTAGGATTTAGGGCTTAGGGTTTACAGTTGAGCGACAAAGAGTAACAGAATGACAATGGGCGTGGAAAGCCAGGAGATGATTTCAAGAACATAAGAGAACAATACATTGCTGCTTCGGCTTATGCATTAGGCATGAAGGGCAGGGAGATCCTACTACGTACCTGTGACTTGTGATTCGAAGGGAAGACGAGAAGATAACCCCTGTACAAATCCCTCCTCAATATATTCCCTTACGCCCTGCCAAACCTCCAGTAAGATTAGGATTTAAGGTTTCGGCCATTTGGGGAGATCCGCTTTGCAAGGCAGTTCAACCATGGCCAAGGCTTTTGCGCCGTGTCTATCAAAGAGATTTGGGCATGCTGTTGGTCTAGGCTTCAGTGTCCAGGATTTAGGGCTTAGGGTTTTTGCTTTAGGCTTGAATGTTTAGCAAGGAACAGTGGCATGATGCTCATCCCAGAAAGGTTTTGTGAACTCGGTATGCTTACTACTAGCTGCTACCAAGTGAACTGGAGGAGCGTTGCAGGATGAAACAGTGACCGACGCCACTAAAAGGTTCACAGAATCTCAAGTCCAAGGCTCGCCACTACCATGTAGACCAAGTACCTCGTGGGCCTCGGGAAAGGTTGCTTGCCGCATTTTAGATTTCGCTGCAGGCCTAGAAAAAACACTTTGGACTGGACACAATGGACATGGCTACTTCTCCAAATGGATGTTACTCTTGGGCGCCAGGGCAAGCGCAACCCTAAACAAACAGTCACGAGCTCCGCATAGTTTCACATGCCCTTCAACGGTAGTAAAGCTTAAAAACGGGCCCCTGAGGGGTCCTAATAGCTCCAAATTTGCACTGTTTCCAGACTTCGGGACCCGATGCGCTTTTGTTTAAAACACCATGGTACGGTGTCTCGAGATTCGAGTCCCCCTACTCTACAGGCTGGCGCATAACAAATGCCACATCTTACCCCTTCATCTCTGCCAAGCACTAGGTAAATGAAGACGTTGCAAATTCGGAGCTAGGGTAGACTTACCTCAAAGATACACCTGATACTTGCTTTGGGCTCCGAAGTCTATGTACATGGCAACCACTGTGTGCCAGTAGGAGTTTCAGGTGCATATCACGAGCTAACTGTTTGTAATTCCACCCATGAAGAGGTCCGGACTCATCCTGTAAACTTCCTTTGTGCAGGCAGCGCGCAGCGTGAACCCACCCACCAAGAACTCCACTCGGGAAGCCAGCTGCTCACGAACGAGGATGTTGAATCGTTCCAGATAGTCCTCCTCTTCCTCCCCTGCCAGGCTTTAGGGGTTAGTATAGAGATGGAGAAGCAAACGGCAAAGAACATGGACAATTAAAGGCACATTTGCGTGTGGAGTGTGTTGTAAGGATTAGGGTTTCCCAGAGTTCAGGGTCCCATCTTCATCTCACTTAGGTTGTCCGGATAGTGCAGGTTGCAACTTATGGTTCCCCTATTTTGTGGAACTACAATATGAGGGTGCTCGGTATGCGACAGAATCAGAAATCATAGGCTGAAGACTCCCATGCCTAGCTCTAGAGGGTTTAGGAAATGCAAAGGGACTTGGATTAGGGCTTCAGGCCTTGCCACGTTGTTGAAGGTTTGCTGCTCATTTAATCTAAAGGATTTCTACAACTTTGCTTGCTGCAAACCTCCCGCATACTCAGCCCTTCCCGCCTATGCCGTCTCCTCTTAAAGCCATCTGTAAGCCCTGTATCACCCGATTCTCATTTTCCAGTTGATTTTCCGTCTGATTGTATGTTCTCACCCTCAAACCCTATGTTCATGTATAAATGTGTGCGAGCTATAGCCTAAACTCCTAGGATCCCCCTAAATAGCCCTTATGATATCTATAGAAGCCCGTGTAAGAATTTTTGCGTACAGTTCAAATGTAACCACTACTTCTTCATTTGACTCTCCGTTATTGTGCGGATCGCTCCCGCCTGCACCATCTCCTCCGTACCATTCTTTCATAGTGGCATAGAGCACCTCGCGATCACCTTCGTTTTGGCCATTTGAGGTTTGGGTGTAGGGGTGGTTTGGGCTCTAAGGCTTTAAAGCTCGGGGCTTTGGGGGGATGTAGGCAGAAGGGTGCTTGAGGAAGCATCGGCAGTTTTAAAGTTGCTGGGCCCCCTCGGTGCACATCAATCCTCTTGGCCAGTATTCTCTGGCACCCTCCAAACTTGAGGTTGAGGTACCACAGGTATAGCCCCACTTATAAGTACCCATGAACTTTCCAGTATTGGCCTTAATTCCGAAACCCTAAGCCAGCATTGGAGCCACACACCCTAAACCTGGTAGTTCCGGCAAAGAAAACAAGAGGTCATCAAAATCGGGGCCCTTGCTTTGGAAGGGCCACCTGTCAGCATTCGTATGGCTATATCACTCAGGGTTCCCAAGCCCTGAACCCTACGCCATCTCTTCCATTCCCTACGTAAATCAAAACATAGCAGCTTCCATCTGCTTTTCCATTGCTGCATTCCCTGCATGCAGGCTACATGTAACCCTCAGTTCTATGTATACTGTAACCAATTGCAAAGGACCTAATCTCCTACCTTCTAGTATCAGCCGTGTGAAGGCCAGTTGCATGGCAGAAGGGCCCCCGTGCTGGGGTCTCGATGGTTGATGGAGCAGCAGAGACACTTAGCATCCTTGTGCTGGGTTGCAGGTTAGGAACTTAAATTACGCTACTACATTATGCTTTATAACCGGGGTTTGATCAGGGTTTAGGGTTAGGTACTACAATTCCGCATCCGTGTATATCCGTTTAGATTTGAGGTTGCAGGGTATGGGGGCATCCTTGCGCCTTCGAAGATTTTATGTGGGTGGTTTCGGTTTTAATACTTTTTGGGTTAATTGTTTAGGGTTCAGGGGTTTGGTGTTTAGGGAGGTGTGTTTGGTTGGTTCGAACCCACTGAGATTATGGAGAAGATTTCTGACACGGGCTATTGCATGCATAATCCCGCTGGAACAGACTTTTCATGCCTTCTGGGCGCTTTCTGTTTAGGGTTTAGGGGTTTAGAGTGTTAGCTTCGGCTTCTTGACTGAAGCTCCGGAATGTGGGGATCAAGGTTTGAGAGATGCCCACCATCAGCCCATTTGCTCTGGGGTACATGTATATCAGTATATATATATATATGTATGTATATATATATATACATGGTAGTTTCCTCAAATAGGGAGACTCCAATATAGACACCACCCCCCCCCCCCTTTTCCCCCCATGCGTGTCTTGCTTAAGCATGTTTGGCGGTTCACTGTGAGAAACTGACATGGAGTGCTTTCAGTCTTTATAAGCAGGAAGCCCAACATAGATTTCAGTATACTACAACCCTGTTTCATAAGGATTTTTCATAAGGATTCTCAGATTACACCACCCAACTTTAAAACCTGCATATGTGCTCCAAACATCAACAACCATGTACCTGTATTAGGCTGCTACACGGGCATTGGCTTTGTTGAGACTCCATATTAAAGAATGTGGCTGTGGCTGCGGAAAGCCATGCATGACTCTGCACAACCTCATGGAATCACCTGAAAACTTGGCTGTATGAGCACCGCTATTGCAAACCGCGAAAATCCTTCATGCGTGCCTGTTGCTTTCATGCAAAGCTTATGTTCAGCAAGTTCGAGAAACTAAGGCTCTATAGCCCAAGCGTCTTGAACTCGAAAGTGCCGTAGTTGTCGCGGCATTTCTTCCATGCCCTCACTCATCTCCATGCCCACGTAGAAGGTGTAGGGTAACAAGATGCTGCAGATAACCAGCATTGCAATTATGACAGCCAGGGTCTGAAACAGCAAGGACGTCTCATCATCTCCCCAGAATACTATCCTTGCCTGGTTCCAGCCAATGCTCAATAGAAGCCAGCACCCAGACGTCAGGAACAGCAGAACAGTGCTCTTCAGTGGCATCAAGCGTATACGCTTGCGTCGTTCTGGATCTTTCATGAAGGTTGCAATTTCGAATGTACACCACAACCTCGTAAAGTACCTCGCTGTTGTTGTTGTTGAAGAAAATG